ATGTCTGTCTGAAACCAAAAGATCCTGAGGCTGTGGACAGAATAGAGCTGACCACCTACCTTTTATGGTGGCTCTGGAAAGCTCGTAATCTTTGGGTCTTCCAAAATAAATGGGTTTCTGAAAAGGAGCTTGTAGATTCTGCTTATCTAGATTGGAGGGAATTTTCTGTTCTTTAGTCTTTTTTCTCTGGTTTTTCTCTCTTTTTGGGTCTGTTGCCTCTGCCTAGCTAGGCTCTCTGAGCAGTGGTTAGATGTTCTCTTTTGTTTAAGTTGGTACTAGGTGCTAAAGGTCTCAGTAATTTTTTACTGCCTATTAGTTTCCATGTATCAGTTTGTATATAGTCCTTTGTCTGCTAGTCCCTCTTGTGAGGGTTCTCTCTTCTTATGTGTATGTTGGCTAGTCGGCCATCCGAACTATGTAAATATTTTTTTAGTTTATGGTTCATTATCGTTTTGAAAAAAAAAAAAAGAAGAAGTAAGATAATGTTAAACAGACCAACCAATTAGATAATTATATGTTTTAACAAAATATATTTTAAATGATACACTTTAGAACTTTTAATAAACAAAAGTATGCCATTTATCAGTGTACATATGCATTTTTGTTTAGAAAAAAAAAATATATCATTGGTCGATCCGCCTAACGATTTTAAAAGTAATCAATATTATTTAATTGATTACATAAGGTTTTCTGTTAGGTTGCCTAATGGTTATACAATTATATTAGTCTAAAATGTATAGTAATATAAATAGAATTTTTAATATTCATATGTCATATTATAATTGTTATTTTAACTTATAAAATATCGCAATTTATAGTGAATATCAATTTTTATAGTATAATAATTTGTGTGTTTTAAAATAGAATATGTCTACTAACCATATGTGATTTGATATTTATTGTCCATAATTAATCTCAATCACGAGTTTCGTTTGAAAACAGTTAACTAAGCAAAAATATCGTGCAGTTGTTTTGATCAAATTTGCTTTAGATTAAGTGATATTGCTGATATTTTTTTGGTGTTTCCAAAATGAGACATGAGTTGCTATATATTACAGATGAAATTGTGGTGTCATGTCATGACCCACGTCAATCAATTTACCACCAATAAAAATAGATGTATATAATAAGACAAGAAGTATATATAAGAATTTAATTATCTGGGATTAATTAATGATGAAAAGATATTTTTCTTTCGGTTGTTTAATTTTTTTCAGAATAGTGATGCAGATATTTTCAGGGAAGGATAACACTCATGCATCTTAGGCAAAATTAACGTGTGGTGATTACAAAGTCACAAAATTAAATGATTGATATATACTAGATTTTATTGCTATTTAGAAACACATATATATCTCGTAAATGGTGTCTTTATTATTTAATTTGATAGTTGAGACGTACATCATCTATGATGATACAATTTTGATTGTATATAGATTTTAAGATATACAAATTGATGAATGAAATATTAATAAGTTAAATTATACTAGTATTTAATTCATTTATTCAACATGTAATTTATTAGGTGAATGGTACTAATATTATGAGTGAATAGTCTCACCCCAGAGTCAGCCATAATGACTAATCTACTTTTGAAAAATTGAAAGTAAATTCAAAAGTGTTGATATTTTTTTTTTTT